ATGAAGGGCTTGTCGTATGAATACTCTGGGTCTGTACTCAATATAATTTAGAAGGATGATGGAGGAACATCAATGAAACTTACAAAATATTGTGAGGCCTGGACATGGAGAAGATGTTTCCACCAGTAGGAGAAACTAGGACCCAAGGGACAGCCTCAGAGTGAAGGGACAACCCTTTAGAACTGAGATGGGAAGAAATTTCTTTAACCAGAGGGTGGTTAATCTGTGGAACTCATTGCCACAGAGTTCTGTGGAGGCAAAGTCATTAAGTGCCTTTAACATAGAGACAGGTAGGTTTTTGATTAGAAAGGGAATCAAAGATTACATGGAGAAGGTAGGAGAATCTGGTTGAGAAACTTTTCACTCATGATCGAATGGCAGAGAGACACAATGAGCCAAATGGCTTAATTCTGCTCCTATATCTTATGGTCTGAAAGTTGAGAACTAATAAGGCCACAGTGCAGGCAAAACCCAGCTGAAATACTAATATATGGTGGAGGTGTGATGTTGGCATTAGAATGCGAACTCATCTCCCTCTTCTGGATGGAGGAGAGCATACCAGGGGATCGCCAAGATGTTGTAATTATAATCATATTCAAGAAAGGAGATAAAACTGATTGCAGTAACTGCACTGTCAAGTGGGAGGGAGCACACATCACATTTGGCTCTCCAAAGAAACTCATTAGCATCCTCTGGCTGCTGTAGGATAGCATGCAAACCATAATTCTCAGCAATGGATCTACCAATACAAGTGCAAAGTGGAGTCAAGGAAGACAGTGTCATCGCACCAACACTCTTTTCCATCTTCCTTGCTGTAATATTTCAATCCATTTCCATGAACCTTTCTGTCAGAGTAGAGTTACTCTACAGGACAAGTGGGAAATTGTTCAACATATATCACCTTCAATCCAGACCAGTGATCACACTGTCTCTGTTCTTGAGCTGTACTTTGCAGATGACACTTGAGTGTGTGTAAACTCAGAGGCTGAAATCCAAACCATCATGCTTTCACAGAGGCATTGAAAGAATGGGCATTACGCTAAACATCCAAAAGACAAGAGAGTACTGCAGCGAGTAACTCACCTCCTGACTCCTCAAAGCCTGTCCACCATCTACAAGGCACAAGTCAGGAGTGTGATGGAATACTCCCCACTTACCTGGATGAGTGCAGCCCCAACAACACTCAAGAAGCTTGACACCACCCAGGACAAAGCAGCCCCCGCTTGATTGGCACAACATCCACAAGCATCCTCTCCCTCCACCATCGACGCTCAGTAGCAGCAGTGTGTACTATCTACAAGATGCACTGCAGAAATTCACCAAAGATCCTCAGACAGCACCTTCCAAACCCACAACCACTTCCATCTAGAAAGACAAGGGCATCAGACATATGGGGACATCACCACCTCCAAGTCACTCACCATCCTGACTTGGAAATATATCACCGTTCTTTCACTGTCATTGGGTCAAAATCCTGGAATTCCCTCCCTAAAAGCATTGTGGGTCCACCCACAGCAGGAGGACTGCAGCAGTTCAAGAAGGCAGCTCACCACCACTTTCTCAAGGGCAACTAGGGATGGGCATGAAATGCTGGCCAGCCAGCGACGCCCACATCTCACAAATGAATAGAAAATAAAACTATACCACCACACATTCCCACTCCCCAATTATCAAAATCCATAGCAAGCCATTGGACAATGCAGATCATTTTTCAAATCTCCAGAGCCCCCTCCAGGGCAAGCATTGATGAAGAAACTCAACGTGGCCTTCAGTGTGCCAATGTGTTCAACTGTCTGAAGAAAACAGACAAAGATCTCAAACCTAGCACTGAGTTCGTAGTCTACAGGGCTGCAACTGTCGTGTCCTCCTGTATGCATTGAAGATATGGACGATGTAGATATAGCAAATCCCTGGAGAAATATCACCAGGGATATTACTGTAAAATCCTGAAAATATAATTGTAGGAAAGGAACACCAGTATCAGTATCTTCTCCCAGGCTAACATCTGCAGCATTGAAGGACTGGTTATGGTTATCAGCTATGTTAGGTGAATCAGACTGTCCACATGCCTCACAGGACTTCTGAAACAAGATCTGAGCTTCATTGTGGCAAGTGGTGTCCTACACGGCAGAAGAAATGCTTCAAGGATGTCCTGGAGGCGCCTCTGAAAAAATGCAATATCCCGACTGTCTTGTGGAAATGTTTTGCTCTGAAACCACCCCAAACTGCAGAAGAAGTTTCCACAAAGGTGCCACCCATTTCAAGCATCTCTGGCAGGCCCAGATAGAGGTGAAGCATAAAGAATAGAAGGAGTGTGTGAAGATCTGAGCATCCCACCCAGAAGCCTCAATAAATGCCAACTACCCAACTGTGGCAGAGTGTATGGATCCAGAATTGGACTGATGAATCATCTCAAAAACCACAACTCTGAAGTGGAAGAAGCTCATCGTTGTTCTGAGGGACATCCTAAGAAGACAAAGGATGCTCAAATATCTGGAGTGGGGCTTGGACCGATTAATATTCTGACTCAAAGATGAGAGAGTTATCACTGAATCATGGCTTATGCAGAGACTGTATCAGAATTAGTTCTTGATTTCTATAGTGAAGAGATAGCATAGAACAGTTAGCCAAATAACACACTTTTTTTTAAAAAACAAAAGAACTGCGGATGCTGTAAATCAGGAACAAAAATAAAGCTGCCGGAAAAGCTCAGCAGGTCTGGCAGCATCTGTGAAGGAAAAAACAGAGTTAACGTTTTGGGTCTGGTGACCCTTCCTCAGAACACACTTTTATGCTATTAACTTTTAACCTTCACTCCTAATATGCAACCTAGAATTGCATCAAACCGTGTAAATTTGAATGGAATTACTTAATTCTGGGAACATTTCAGAAACATGGTAATGGTACTGCAAACATTTTTCTTGTTCATGTGATGTGATATGGGCTTTATATACTTCTATTTTAATTTAATTTATTATCAGACCTTTTGGATAGAACATCCAAGGCTGAAACCCACAGAGAAATGTGAGTGTAGTGAAAACAAATTACTCTTATAGCTACAATACTGGCATCTACTCAACAATGTGAAATATTGTCCAGGTATGTCCTGTCCACAAAAAGCAGGATGAATCCAAACAGGCCAATTATTGCCCTATCAGTCTGCTCTTTATCATCAGTAAAGTAATGGAAGGGCTCATTTGCAGAGCATCAAGCACTTGCTCAGACATTCTGTTTGAGTTCAGGAGGGCACTCAGCTCCTGACATCATCAAAGCCTTGGTCTAAATATGGACAAAGGGCTGAACTTCACAGATGAGCTAAGAGTGACAACCCTTGACATCAAAGATAGTATGACCGAGTGTGGAATCAAGGAACCCTATGGTTGTTGGAAGTCAATCATCTCAGCCTTAGGACATCATTGCAGGTGTTCCTCAGGGTAGTATCGAAAGGGGGGAAAAAAAGACAAAAGGAAACACAATTTAACATTTCAGGTGGTAAGTCTTGTTGCAAATGAAATTACTGACAGGAAGAATCAAACAAAGCAGTGAATGTGATTAGGGCTTCTATGAAATTATGATGCTGTGTCTTGACAATCCAATGAGGGTTTCTTAAAGAATAATTTTCATAAGTCGGTAAGATTATGGAATCCATTGTGAAGGATGAGATTTCTGAATACTTGGAACTGCATGGTAAAACAGGGTAAAGTCAACATGGTTTCATCAAGGGAAGGTTAATCTGTTAGAGGAGGTAATGAGCAGGTTAGCCCAAGGAGAGCCAATGGATGTTATCTACTTGAACTTGCAGAAGGCCTTTGACAAGGTGCCACACAGGAGGCCGCTGAGTAAGATAAGGGCCCATGGTGTTTGAGGCAAGGTACTAGCATGGATAGAAGATTGGCTGTCTGGTAGAAAGCAGAGTGGGGATAAAAGGGTCGTTCTCAGGGTGGCAGCCGATGACTAGTGGTGTTGCACAAGGGTCAGTGTTGGGACAACGACTTTTCATTTTATATATTAATGATCCAGATGAAGGAACTGAGGGCGTTCTAGCTACATTGGCAGATGATACAAAGATAGGTAGAAGGATGGGTAGTATTGAAGAGGCAGGGAGGCTGCAAAAGGATTTAGACAGGTTAGGAGAGTGGGCAAAAAAGTGGCAGATGGAAAACAACATGGGAAAGTGTGAGGTCATGCACTTTGGTAGGAAGAATAGAGGCATAGACAATTTTCTAAATGGGGAGAAAATTCAGAAATCTGAACTGCAAAGGGAGTTGGGAGTCCGAGTCCAGGATTCTCTTAAGGTAAACTTGCAGGTTGAATCGATAGTTAGGAAGGCAAAATACAATGGCATTTATTTCAAGAGTACTAGAATACAAAAGCAGGGATATACTTCTGAGGCCTTATAAGGCTCTGGTCAGACCATATTTAGAGTATTATGAGCAATTTTGGGCGCCATAACTCAGGAAGGATGTGCTGGTCCTGGAGTGGGTCTAGAGGATGTTCACGAGAATGATCCCAGGAATGAAAGGCCTAACATATGAGAGATGTTTGAGAACTGTGGGTCTATACTCAACGGAATTTAGATGGATGAGGGAGATCTAATTGCAACTTACAGAATACTGAATGGCCTGGACAGCGTGGATGTTGGGAAGACATTTGCATTAGCAGAAGAGACTAGAACCTGAAGGCACAGCTTTAAAGGGAAGACACTTTAAAAAGAGATGAGGAGAAACAGAGAGTGGTGAATCCATAGAGTTCACTGCCACAGAAGGCTGTGAAAGCCAGGTCATTGAGTATATTTAAGACAGAGATAGATAGGTTCTTGATTGTCAAGGGGATCAAAGGTTGTGGAGAGAAAGCAGGAGAGTGAAGTTGAGAAACTTATCAGCCATGATTGAATGGTGGAGCAGATTCAATGGGCTGAATGGCCTAATTTCTGCTTCTATGTCTTATGGTCTATAATACTGATATTGATGTACGTTCTGTTTTCCCCCGTTTTGTTTCAGAACACTTCTCTTATGGTTGGAAGTATCCAAGGTGAGTGATGCTATTGTTAAATTAAAGCAAAAGTTTACAACAGTAATATGTAAATTATGTATTCATATTTATAGAATTCTATTCAGGTATGCAGCAGTCTTCAGTCAGAAATCCATCTCCGCCTACTTCAGTGGTCCCTAGCATTACAAATACCAGTCATAGCCAATTCAATTCATTCTGTGATATCAAGAAACAGTTACAGGCACTGGATACTACAAAGTCTGTGAGCCCTGACAGCATTCTAGCAATAGTACCAAAGACTGTGCTCCAGGACTTTCCGCACCCCTCACGAAGCTCTTCCAGTACAACACTGGCATCTATCTGACAATATGGAAAATTGCTCAGGTATGTCCTCTACACAAAAAGCAAGACAAATTCAATGCAGCCAATTACTGGCCCCATTAGTCTACTCTCAATCATCAGTAAAGTGATGCAAGGTGTCATCAACAGTGCTGTCAAGCAGCACCTGCTCAGCGACGCCCAGTTTGGGTTCCACCAGGGTCACTCAGCTCCTGACCTCATTACAGCCTTGATTCAAGCACGGACAAAAGAACTAAATTCCAGAGGTGAGGTGAGAGTGACTGACCTTGACATTAAGGCCATTTTCGACTGAGTATGGCATCAAGGACCCCTTGCAAAACTGAAATCAATGGGTATCGGGGGCAAATTCTCCACTGGCTGGAGTCGTACCTAACACATGGGAAGATGATTGCGGTTGTTGGAGGTTGACCATCTCAGCTTCAGGACATCTCTGCAGCAGTTCCTCAAGGTAGTGTTCTCGGCCCAATTATCTTCAGCTGCTTCATCAATGATCTTCTCTCCATCATAAGGTCAGAAGTGGGGATGTTCACCGATGATTGCACAATGGTCAGTACCATTCACAACTCCTCACATACTGAAGCAGCCCATGTTCAAATGCAATAAGATCTGAAAGATATCCAAGCTTGGTAAGTAACTGACAAATGGTAAGTAACTTTGACATGTCAGAAATGCTTGGCAATGACCATCTCCAGTAAGAGATAATCTAACACTACCCCTTGACATTCAATGGTATTACCATCACTGAATCCCGCACTATCTAGATCCTTGGATTACCATGGATCTGAACTCTTCACAGTAGCAAACACAATGACTGCAAGAGCAGGTCGGAGGCTAGGGATACTGCAACGAGTAACTCACATCCTGACTCCCCATTATCTACAAGGTGCAAGTCAGGAGTATGATGGAATACTCCCCACTTGCTTGGATGGGTGTACTCAAAAAGCTCGACACCATTCAGGACAAAGCAGCCTGCTTGATTGGCACCAAATCCTCACGCATCCACTCCCTCCACCACCAACGCTCACTAGCAGCACTGTGTACCATCTACATGGTGCACTGCAGAAATTCACCAAAGATCCTTAGACAACACCTTCCAAACCCACAATTACTTCCATCTCAAAGGACAAGGGCAGAAGATACATGGGAACAGCACTCACCTGCAAGTTCTCCTCCAAGCTACTCACCGTCCCGACTTGGAAATATATCGACATTCTTTCATTGTTGCTGGGTCAAAATCCTGGAAATCCCTCCCTAATGGTATTGCGGGTCAACCTACAGCACGTGGACTGCAACGGTTCAAGAAGGCAACTCACCACCACCTTCTCAAGGGCAACTAGGGACGGGCAATAAATTCTGGCCCAGCCAGAGACATCCACATCCCATGAGTGAATTAAAAAAAATCTGGAAAGATGTGTAAATCATCGAGTTAGTTTGGAGATCCCTTTCCTTGAAATTTGTTCGGATAGCCAGTCCAATTTAACTGGCTGAAGATGAGGCCTGACATGCATTGAATCAATGTGAATCAGATAAGGGCCTACAGCACAAAACTGCCATCAGTTTGTTTCAAAATATCAGTCTCTCACAGAATGACCATGAAGATGGTTGGTGTTGAATATAGAAAAATGAAGAATGTTCATGCCTGAGACAGTTACAAAGCAAGTATTTCATTAGACCAAGGATTCTGGAAAACTTTCCAATGCCGCATTAGATGTGAGATGCTTGATGAGTAGTTATAGAGGGAGCTTTACTTTGCATTTAATTCATGCAAATGATCTGGGTGTGTTTGATGATTACTCCTTTAGAAGTTGATGGTGAAATTTGGAAGGTTAATATTCACAATGAATGTGGTTATTGCTGATAATTGCATTGATGATATTGACAGATTTGAGCAGGTACTAAGAAAGGTGGGAGAAATTGGTTTTGTTTGGGAAGGCTTGATATTGACTTCGAACAAAGTCAACATTGACAATAACAGAAATTGGTGTTGACACTAGAAGTTTATGGTGATGGTGGGAAAGTGACACTAGGAGAGGTTGGAGCTGATTCTAGGATTTGTCAGTCATTAATTTTAAATGAGATTTTTTTTGTTCACCAATGGTATTAATGGATATGGGTCAAAGGTAGGTATGGAGTTAGGGAGCAAGTTTTGAAAGATAGGAAACCTGCTATATGCTTTGCATTCTCAGCTACCCTGCAACTTGCCTGAACTGGAATTATCCGCCTCTCTCAGGAACCTGCCAAGGTTCATGTTGGCAGATTGTCGGGAATCAATACTCACCACTGCCCTAGCTACCTGTTGCCCAGAGCAATGGCTCTCAGAAGAGAAATACTTCACAACATCTAACATGTGAATTTTTCACCATGGTGGCTAATCCTACAATATCCATCCATTTCAAGTAACCTGACTAACTGGACAGAATCTAATAATTTCATAATACAAAAGCAAACTCAATGTTAATTCCCCTTAGCTTGTTTCTTTCTAATGAACATAGTCTCAGAGTCTGGTGCCTCGATTATGCACATGCTCTATTAACAGGTACCAGGTTGTTTGCTGCCCAGTATACCTTCTATTTATATTTCATAACCCCACCGTAAACCAGGGACCAAAATTAGATGCAGTGGTCTATGTGCAAGCATATCACAGCCTTGTGTTTATCTTTAGTGCTGTTAGTTTTTCATTGCACTCTTCAGGCAATTCAACCTAAAATAATAGTTGCTTTCCCAGTAGAGTTATCTTTCACTGTTTTTGCATCTTTAATGCATTATCATTGGAAATCCCCAGGTCCCTCTCTTGATGTCTAATGTTTAACAGGAATCCTGTACTGTAATCAAAAATGGGTTTTTCTCATTTCAATTGCATCACAGTGCACTTATCAATATCAAAATACCTTTACTTTTAACCATACTCAGGTCCAATTACCTAACATAACCAAATCGGTTTACAATCAATTTACTTTGTCTAGATTTCCAACTTGTTTCACATTTTTACATTATCTACAGATTTATGAATAGTTGCATCAATACCCTCATGCAAATCATATATCACTGTAATAAACAGCAATTAGCCTTGAGGAATTCCATTTAATCCCATTGATGATAAGCAATGAGGTAATTTAACCTTCCCTATCTCCTCTCATTGAAGATAATCCTTCCTGGAGATGCGTAACTTGCCAAATCTTGGTTCTACAGGACCAAATCAGCCTTTGCTAATTTACCAAACAGGCAATTGCTTCTGAGCAAGCCAAGATTTGTGAGTGTTGTCAAAGAACTTATGGGTGACATCATTGCCAAATCTAATTGTGTCCGCACTCAATATATGAAAAGGTGCTTTTTAGCAATTAAAGGTGAGAACCTTATCTGATTGCTCCCCCTCTTCAATCTAGGGGTGCAAAAGCAGTTGGATTTATCTAATTGAACTCGGTAACTCAGCTCATTAACTGTTTGGAATAGAAATACAACACTGTACCAATGTACCTCCTGTTGTCTTAGTCATGGGACCTGTCTCAGTAGGCACTGACAGGGGATATACATCTTGCAAGCAGTTTCAATAAAGACATAGTGAGGGCAGGCAATATGGTACTGGATTAAACAGCAACATGGTGTCAGAAGTGGAACTGAGATTGAGTGTCAAAGAACTGTGTGGAAACGAAGCCTTTACAGAGAGATACAGGAATTTTCAGAGCTGTGAAAGCTGCTACAAGCCACTGAAAGATATTGAAAAGGAACAAAGAAACAAGTCATAGTTGAAAAATTGTGTCAGACACAATGGCTGCAACTCTTCCTCTCCCAGCACTAGTCTAAAGGATATGAAATAGAACTGTCAGTTTTATTCACTCACAATGGCAAATTGATAAAACATCTACTTAACAAGCCAGACCTGCCAAATGAAGCTGTGCTCTTATCACTGTTGGAGACTATTTCAAAGAATATTCCAACTTAAATCTCTCTGAAGAACAGGAAAAAAAATAAGACTGCAGAAGTTTTGAAAGCCTTGAAAGCACGTTTTTGAGCCTCATGTGAACCTAACTTATGAATGTTCAATACTAGGGCCCAAAGTGAAAAAGAATCATTTACACAACTGACAGAATCCTGTGAATTTGCACAACTAAAGTATGGTTTAATTAAAGATGGAATTGTATTAGGCATAAGAGATCCAAAGCAGAAACATGTCTACTGAGAAAGGAGAAACTCCCTCTCAGAAAAGCAATCAACATGCGCAGAAGTGCTGAGGTTATAAATCAGCAGCTAGAGTTTATTCAAGGTAGAACAAATTAATCTTGCAATATGCCAATAGAAACTCCAGACTGAGAGGGCAAAACAGTCACAAATACAAATGCAAATACAGGATCCCAGTCTCAAATCAACGATGTCACTCTCCATCTTAATGAAGAATTCTATAATATTGTGATCTGTCTTCCCTGAGGAGCCTTGAACAGTTAGATTGCTAATTATTCCTTTCTCATTACACAGTACCTAACTTAGGATGGCTAGTCCTCTAGTTGGTTCTGCAGCATATTAATCCAGAAAACCATCTCATACACACTCCAGAAATTCTTCCTCTATGGTATTGTTACTGATTTGATTTCTTTAATCTATATGCAGAATAAAGTTGCCTATAATTACAGCTGTACCTCTATTATTTGTGGCTCTGTATTCCTGTTTAATGCTTCCCCAATATT